ATTATCGTGATCAGTTAAGATATGACAACTTTTAGAATTATAAACAAAATTAAAAAAAAAAAAGTTTACAGAACTTCTAATTTGTTCTAACATGCACCAGATTATAGTCAACTTAAGCATTGCAACGAGAAAATAATTGCAGTTGGTTCAATGCAACCAGATTCTATGTTAAGAAACATACAGCATCCAAGAAGCGAATGTGTAAGCACCTGGTTAAACGCCTTACCGCTAGAAAACCAAGGTTTTGTTTTAAAAAAAAAAGAGTTTTGAGATATACTTTGCTTACGTTATAATTTTGACTTAAAAAATATCCCTCGTTTTTGTGAATGCGGAGAACCTTTCAATGTAACTCATGCATTGTCGTGTAAGAAAAGTGGCTTCATTGTAGTTTGCTTAAAAGAGTATGCATAAATGTTCATTCCGAACCACATCTCATACCCCTTGATAATTAGAATTTTTATTTTCATACAGCAAATAAAAGTAATTAAGCTCGTTTGGATATTAAAGCAAATGGTTTTTGGCAAAATGGATAGACAGCTGTATTCAGAAAACATGAAAAGGAAAAAAAAGAGAGTATGGTGAACGAGTTCGTGAAGTCGAACACATTCATGGAATGTTTGACACCACTAGTGTTTGGTACAAATGGGTAAAAAATGTCATCGGTTTGTCAGAGGCTAGCGAAGAAACTAGCGGAAAAACAAAATGAAAAATACTCAATTGTTATGACGTGGTTAAGAACGAAGTTATCTTTCGAGATACTTTGCTCAACTATCCTTTGTTTAAGAGGTTTAAGAACACCGTGGACTAGAAAAAATGATTTTGATCTCGGTGTTGATTTTAAGATGGATGCTCTAGAAGCAAGAATCTGAGTTTTTAAAAATTTATATTATAGCATTTTTTTTTTTTTACATGTAACTAATATTTAGGAATAGAAAAATTATTTATATATTGCGATTAAGTATATCTATATATTTGTATATTTGTTTTTCTTATATTCCTTCGATTTATAGTCAAAAATTAAAAAAATGTTTTAATTGCCATAAAATTGATTTTTAAAAATAAAAATTCTTACGTAAATATTTTCTGGTTGTTTCAAATTTAAAAAAATGGAAATTTGGTAATACTAAACCATAGATTATTTGGAAACTACATATTATTGCCTTGAATTTAGTATGCCACAATTTTTTACTAATTACCCAGTTTTCTTAATTATTTGTGGTTATAAAAAAAAAACTAAAAACTAATGTGAGGCTGTGGCGCAGTTGTTAGAGCGCTTGTTTTATAAGCAGGAGATACCGGTGAGAAAGGAGGCGTGAACTTCCCGGTTAAATGCACTCCGCGGTGCTCTGTGACAAGACCGTTAGGTCTTCTTGGGGCACCTAAATAACAATAAAAAAAAATTAAAAAAATGTTTTACTCATTTTTTAGACATTATGCAAATGTTATTCAAATTTAAAAAAAAAAAGGCGAAAAAAAAGTATTAATAATGTAATTTTAATAAACTATGAAGATAATATACTTGGACAAACAAATCTGCCAATCCTTCAACTTTTTATACTTTGAAATAATGATTATTCAGAAATAACAGTCTTAACAATGGTTCATTGGTTCTCTTCACATTCTTGGAATCGAAAAGGGCATTGAATTTCTAACTCCAAGAAACCATTTCTGCAGATTTGATCTGCAGCTACCACAATATGAACGATATGCAGTAAAGAATTTTGTGCAAACATAACAGAAAGAGTTATGAAAACAACGCCGACGACACGGGTTTCAAAGTGGGGGGGGGGGGCACAATTGTCAATTTTTTAAAAAAAAGTCTAGTATATCTAGAATTTTCTTGGAAAAAAAGGTCCTTTAGAAAAAAAGTGAGCCCTCGACATCCATTTACTTTTTGCTACCCATATATGTGCTTTTTGTTCCACACATGTGTTTTTTGCTACACATATATGTGTTTTTGCTACACTTAAATGTGTTTTTTGCATAACCATTGGTTTTGTTTTAAAAAGTGAAAAAACATGTTTTGTATATTTTGAAGTTTTTATATATGTACAAAAACTTCGAAATATAATTTATCTTTTTCTCAGGAAATCTTGATAATAAAGCAAAACTAATACAGCATCCCAAAATAAGGTAAAAAAAATTTAAAAATCAACATAAACAAAAATGTTGTATGGTTGATATAAAGGATGTATTATTGTTCAACTCAATTAGATTCTTAGTGTGTCCTAATAGCATATGAAAAGTCGAACTATACAAGGGCTTTTTTTGTAGCAAAAGAATATTAATGTCATTTTGTTAGCATGAATGTTTACTTAAGTAAACATTCATGCTAACAAAATGACTTAGTTCGATCTTAGCGTTTTTTTCAGTATTTTGTATGCTGATTGACCTAACAGTGAAAAACACCAGATTACAAACAGTGAATTAAACCAGATTACAGCAGCTGTCACAATTAATATTAAGGTAATTTTGCATGGGCTCGACACAGCTAATAAATTAATTCCTACATAGAATTCAAAGTTCTTCTGTTTTCCAAAATTTTAGCTTTTGTGAGATTGAACCCCTTTTTTTTTCACTTTTTCTATTATCTTCTGATTTGTAGTCATCATCTTGATTTAACTTATCTTCATTTGATGACAGAAAACTTACATACGAAAGGTTAACAATAAATAAATTATAAATTATGATTTACATTTTGAAACAACATATCATAATACAAAGTTCAGTTTTGTTTATAAATGCAATTTAATTGAAAAGTATTTTTTCATAAATATATATTTATATATTTAAAGTTTATGTTTACTCTGTGTAAACCTTGATACGTTTTACATATTTTGTAAGGATAAAAGCCAACTGAAAAAAAAGGTCTTGGGTAATATAGCCATCCATAAAAAAGTGCCGCCCTACGACAGATATATGCCACAACTCTATAATATAAGTCTAGTGCAATTATGGCCGATTATATAATTTTGTCCGCAAAACTGCTCAAACGGAACACTGTGAGTTTCAGTCTTAAAATATACTTACATTATACACATACAGCGAGCAGAGAAAAAACACCTAGTTTTATAAATACTTATTCTGAATTTTTTTTTTTCGACCTAAATTCTAATCTAAAATTTAAAAGTAAAACAATAAACTGATTGGTTGCAAAAAGAACATAATTATCCGTATTTTATATTTGTAACAATTTGTTTACTACTTTTAGAAAATTGCTGTGTGAATCTTGTATATATATATATGCATTTTATGAAAGTATAGTAAAAACAATTTTATTTTTATTTTTGTTCTTTATTTTTGCTCATTATACTTTAAGAAAACTACTTATAAACTCAACCTTAAAGTAGAGAATAAAAAATAAACTTATAAATTTTCAGGCGGAAACAAAATAATGATTAAAATATTTTTGCATGCAGTTTAGCAATAGCTAGCTTTTATGAAGTTTATAAAAGTTTATATTGCTTAAAATAAAGCATTTAATAATTTCTTTTTTATGAGCAGATTTACCATTATCTAATTTCAGTGTTTAATAAATATTTGATATTCTAATTAATTAATCGTAAATGATTGATAGGTTATTGATGTACTTGTCGACAATAAAACAGTATAAACTTTGAACTGGAAACATTCAAGTTCAAATATATATATTATTATCAAAATTTAAAGTTGACTAATATCAGTAGAAGTCATAAATTTATACAAAATATGATAAATTATAATTAGGTTTTTATTTAATCAAATAATTTAGTATGAAATAGATTAGGGTTATTTAAATTTTTTTTTAATGCAATTTATTATGATTATTTTTTACATTTATTACTTCTTATATTGATATTCTAAATACATTCTTAATTTTCTTTAAAACTTTTAAATTACATTTTTAAAGAACCAAAATACAATAGCAGAATTAAAAAAATATATATATATTTGTTAAAAACATTATTAGGAGTAAGTGCTTCCTCCAAAGTCTCTTCATATAAGCTATAAAGCTAGATGAATTTTGTATAGAGGAAATCCTCTTTAGATAGAAATATGTTGCTAAATGTTTTGAATTTAAAGTTTACATCCTCGTTAGGGGGAACAAACTTTGCGTTTTTATTAAATTTTATAATTTGAAAATACTTACTATATTTTAATTTTTCAAATAAAAAAAGTTCCTCATTTGAAATTGGGGGTAACATTTTTCCTTCACATTTGAAATTGGGTGTAACATTTTAAGGTTTTGCGTACTGCTAAAGAATACTAACTTTATATCTTTGCAAAACTATTTTTGTTTGTCAGAGGTGTGAATAGAAAATATTTAGAAAATATTCGATGATGATCCAATGTAAAAATAGAAACTATGACAGTAAAACTATTTTTTGAACTGCCAAAAAAAAATTTATAACTGTGAACATGATATGTAGAACAAGGTAAATAACAGTTTTATTTATATGAATATTTTACTCGTCATATCTCAGTTATTTAAATATCTTTTAAGATTCACTCAAAATAAGTAAAAATATGTAAACTAAAGTTTCATTATAAGCATCAGATATTAGATTTAAGACAATTGAAATGTTTTAATAAACAATTTGAGAAAAAAGTTAAAAATATCAACACTTCAAAATTTAAAATTTAAAAGTCTTCCGGCAGTCGCCATTCTAAGTTTACAACAGTATCATTTGGCATTGTGTGTTCAATATACTTACCAGGTTTAACAAACAAAAAAGATCATAGAAAAAAAAAGCATTGAACAGTTGAAAAATATATGTCAAATTCATAAACGTTTTATTTAGGGATTAAGATTAAGGTGATTATGAAGCAAAAAATTAGTTAAAATTTGAAGATGCAGCATGATTTGTTTGATGATAAAGTTTGTATTTGATTATTAGTTTGTCAAATCTGAAAATTAAAATGTTTGAACATGTATTTAACAATAATTTTTTTTCAATTTTTGTACGCAAATGTTTTTTCGGTGCAGGTATATATCTATTCTTATTTCTAATTGAATAAAACATGACGTTAACTTTTCATCAAAATAGTAAGTATGTTTTCTATTTAATTTGGAAAAGAAGCATTTTATTAAATAAAGAAGAATATTTTATTAAAGCATTTTATTAAATAAAGAATGAAAGCTCAAAACGGTTTTTTTTTTTTTGTTAATTTAAAAGCTTAAAACGGTTTTTTTTTTTTTTTTTTGTTCATTTAACAATATTTTCTGGTAAAAATGTCTTTGTACATAATATATGAGAACACGGAATCTTGAAGAGAATTGTAAGATCCTGTCACCGAGAACTATGCAATACATTCAGCAATACAATAATAATAAACCAATTATTTCAAAAATAAATCATTATATTTCAAAAAAAAAAAAAATGAAAAGTAAATACCGTTTAAGAAAATCTACACACAAATAAGATAAGGTATCTCAATTATAAAATACCGTTTAACAAAACAATATAAAATCAAATCAATTATAAAACACCAAATATATATATATATATATATATATATATATATATATATATATATATATATATATATATATATATATATATATATATATATATATATATATATATATATATATATACATATATATATATATGTCAATATAGCATTATATGAGCCGTTTATTTTGAAATAGGCATAAGTAGGGTTGCCAGATGTCCGGCTTTTACGAAGAAAAACTTGTTTTTACAGGTTTGGCGCTGTATTCTCCTCCGTAAAAACCGGACATCTGACAACCCTCGGCATAAGTCATCTTTTTGAAAAAATTTGGTTATTGATATCAATAATTACAATGTGAAGAGGTTGGAATCGTCATTAGATTTAGGGGTGGGGTAGAGGTTGTAATTTTTTTTTTATATTTTTTAGGATTTAATTTTTACGCAAATATTATTTATATTCGGCGCTTTTAAAAAATGGCGCAGTAAGTTATTTCTTTTTTGTTCAAACATCAAACTTTAACCATATTTGGATACAGATTTACCGCATGAAACGACAAGTGTTTCTGACACAACGCCTATTTCTTAACAATCGAAATATCAATAACAAATATATTTTATATTTAACTTTATTTATATATATATATATATATATATATATATATATATATATATATATATATATATATATATATATATATATATATATATATATATATATATATATAATATATATATATATTATATATATATATATATATATATATATATATATATGTATATATATATATATATATATATATATATATATATATATATATATATATATATATATATATATATATATGTATAAATATATATGTATATATGTGTATGTATGTATATATATACATATATATATATATATATATATATATATATATATATATATTCATTTATAAACTTCAGCCATTAAATTAGAGACCGATATCATTAACATCTATAGTCTGTAAAGTCATGAAAAGTCTCATTCATGATCGCATAATGAAGTTTTGCACAACACAAAATCTTATATCTAAAGCTTAACATGGTTTTGTTCCTAAGCGAGGGTGAGCCAGAAATCTTCTGGAAGGACGTGAAATACTATATAAGGCATACACCTTGGGTTTGCCGTAGATGTTGTTTATACAAACTTTGCCAAGGCATTTGACAAAGTTCCACACAGGCGCTAGTTACACAAACTGTAAGCTTATGGAATTAGTGAAACCCTGCTAAAATAGATTGAGAAACGGTTAACTGGTCGGCTACAGAGAGTATTGTTAGACAGATAAACATCTGAGTGGGCCCAATAATTAGCGGTGTGCCGCAGGGCTCGGTTCTTGGTTCACTGCTTTTTATCTTATTCATTAATGATTTGCCAGACACCATTGTACACCTTATAAAACTTTATCCCGATGATGGTAAAATTATCGAAGTCATCAAATTACTGAAAGATCTCATCCTTGTTCAAGCTGACATAGATAAAATAGTTGACTATTTTATTGGTCTCAGAAGTGGCTAATGTACTTAACACCGATAAATGCAGAGTAATGCATGTTGGACGCATTAACAAGTCAGCTCACTCATACATAATGAAACAGTCAGAGGAAACCCATTGTACATTGAAAGAAACAATAGTTGAACAAGACAATTGGATTATTGTTTTCAATGACTTTAGGTCTAAACTCGAGTCGAAATACCAGTCTCAATTGCAAAATGCTTAATTGTCTCAAAAAAGCGTCCAAAGCCGTAGACTAGTTTTATGTACCTTGCATACATTCTTCTACATCTAGATTTTGCAGAGCAGGTTTGGTCTTCTTACCTAAAAAAAGATATTGCAATGGTAGAGAAAGTTCAAAGTTGTGTAACAAAAACAATGTGAGATAAAACATCTGTCATACAAAAAAAGATTACAAAGGCTTAAGCTAACATCACTTGAGGAGGTGATCTAATCCAACAGTTCAAAACCAGATTGATGAAGTCAACTTTTATTTTCATCAAACCCTACTTAATTCAACAACAAATTACAATCTCTGTGGACACAATCAGCAACTTTTGCATCAACTAATTAAAGATTGCATTCAACGAGAAAATTTTTTTACAAATAGAGTAACAAAACACTGCTCTTTCACAGGAAGCAGTTGACCTTCTGTACATTTCTTAAAAAAACTTGTATCAAAGTTTTTTTTGACCAGCTGCTCTTTGCAGCTTAGCTGTGTCAACATAGAGCAGTCTAATTTAGCTCTCCTTCATTGGTTTACCGGGTGACCGAGCAACAGCGTAACGCAAAAAATATAAAAACTTGATAATATAAACACAAAAAATTTATTTCAATTTATAACTAGAATTTTGACTAGATGTTTATTCATGACTTGAAGGTTTAAAATTATTCAATGTGGCCACCATTGGCATCATACACAAGTTGGATACGCCGCTGGAATGATCTGCATGCATTCATGACATCTTCTTCTGGAACTTTGGCCCATGCTTTGCGTATAAATTTTTTTAAGTTCTTGGTACTTCCATGGGGAATCTTGCAAGCCTCCTTCCCCACAGTCATCCACATAAAAAAGTCTAATGGGTTCAAATCTGGGCTAGATGGGGGCCACTTTAATTTGTCCTAGTACTGACTCATGTTTTCACTGAGAAAATTTTGTGTCTTTTTTGAAGTATGAGCTGGTGCCCCATCCTGCTGAAACACATACTGACCATCTGGATAGTTTCTGTTTAACCAGGAAATGACCTTCTCTTGCAGGGATGGATATACTCATCACTGTCAATTTTTTGACATTTTTTTACAAAAACTGGTAGACACTTTTTTCCATCACTTGCTATCATGCCAAGTACCATTACAGAAGCTGGTTTTTTTGATGAAAATGAATACCTGATATTCTCAGGGACTTCCTTTACTGTTTTGGCAGTACTAAGGTACCTTATGTTACGACGATTAGTAACTTTATCCACAGTGAAAAGTTTTTCATCAGAGAAGGTTGTCACACGCCCAGGGTAAGATTTTCGCCAGTTTAACAATTTTTTGCATAGCTCTTTCCTACTTTCTTTCTGTTTATTAGTGATAAGATGCTTAGTCACAACAGCTCTGGGTTTAAGGTTCAAATATTTCATAACTTTTTGCATTGTGGAGTTGGCAACATTGCCTACTGGCAATGTTGCCAACTCCACAATGCAAAAAGTATATAAAATGCAAAATTATATATATATATATATATATATATATATATATATATATATATATATATATATATATATATATATATATATATATATATATATATATATATATATATATATATATATATATATATATATATATATATATATAATTTAAAGACAACAATGTAGTATTAGAATATAATAGTGTACATAAATAATAATAAAACTATTTGTCAACCTGTTGACCATACAAAATTTAGAAATTTCGTTTCGTGGAGCTTTTTTTTAGAATAAAATAATTTTTAAAAATTTTGATATTCTTGAAAATTATAGTTCTCTCCTTAAAACAAAATTGAAAAATATTGTATTCTCTCTAGATGAAATATCTTAGTACTTTAAAATTTGTATTTTTAATGTATTGTTTTTTTTTATTTTAAGTTTTTTTTTTAATTATTATTTCAATAAATGTTTACAATAATGTAATTTTTATTTTACCTTTATGTATTGATAGTGTAATTTTAACAGGGCCGACGACACGGGGGGGGGGGGAGGGGCAAGAGACTCATGCGTCCCCCCCTAACCTATTTTCTAGAGGACTTTTTTTTTAAATCTTGATATAAAAGACTTTTTTCACAAATAGATGATTGTGATCACCCCCTCCCCCCTCTACTTCAAAATCCGTGTCGCCGGCCCTGTTTAATTGTCGCTTATTCTTCATTTTCTATATGTATCAGTATTTAGTTAAACATGTTAAATGCAGTTTTTAAGCTTTTTTTCAGCGGCTCTCGCGATACTCGATATTATTATTTTTAAATTAAACTTTAAATATTTTTTGCTTCAAAAACGCCGAACAGATTTACTTAACAATCGTATAAGATTTAAATGTCTTTTCTACAATAAGTATTGTTGTTGTTAATCTTAATATTAATGTTTGATGTGGATTATGAGAATGTGCAACAATAACAAACTAATAAAACCAAAAAAGGAAATTTAAAAAAAAAGTAGCTAAATCGAGTAAAAGCAATGTATTTCTACAAAATACGATACAAATAAAAATATTTATCGAACAAAATAAAAACAAAAAACTAATCATATCAAATTGAATCAATAAACTAAATTGGCAAATAAATAATGCGCACCAAATAAAAATTTGTACAAAAATAAAATTAAACGGTTGCTTTAAAACGCGGGAAAAATAAATTGACTTCTTGGTGTAGGCAATTTTAAATCATTACCGAGTGTATGATACTTTGAACATCACGACATATTTCCATTAAACGATCAGTTCTCTGAATTATGGCAAGACAAAAAAAGATATAAATTTTTAGATTTTGTCGTAATATAAAATAAAAAAGTTTGTGGCAAAAAAATCCAGCTGAAGATTTTTTTTTTTTAATCTTCTAAAAATGACGATTTCTTGTCCAGATTTAAATAAGATTTTAAATAAACATGTTGTTTAGGTAAAATGAAGTCATTGTTTAATGATATGATGCGTTATGATTGTTTATTTTTTCGTAATTATAAGCTCTTTCTTGATTGGAATTCTTATGTTTTTAGTGAAAATTGATAGAAATGTCGTATTTTGATGACTATATTTAATTAATATATATCAAACCAGATTAAAATTAAGACCTATCGAAGATTAACGCACTTTTAAAAAGATTTTAATTAAAATTAGGTTAACGTTGTTAAGCAAAAAAAAAAAGACTCAAAAATGGTGTTCTTTAGGTTCACTAGTAGTAAATAAGTTTTGAAAATAATAAAGGGAAGAGTTTTTTTTAAACATAAAATCCTGAAACAAAAAAAATTATAACATATAAAGTTTTTTTTTGGATAAAATACACTGACAAAGTCATGCTAATTTCAAACGAAAAAATTCGAACTATTTAAAAATTGCTTTTTTCTTTTCTTTTTCTAATTTTTTAAGACCTAGCGGTTTTTTATTAACTGCTTTTCTTTGTCCTTATAAATCACTTGCCCGTCATAACTTGTTTTATCAACCCAAATTAAATTTCGCATACTTTGCTTTTTTTTGCAAGATTGCTTCAATTTATTGTAATCTTTCCATTGTGATTTTAAGACTCTTATTCATCTATTTTTCTCCCTAAACCATTGGTGCTTTAGAATTCTTTTCCATGAACATGTTTTTCTGAATCTGAATTAACTATTTTTTTTTAAGTTTTTTGTCCATCGCTTTTCCGTATTTTTTTTTTTTTTTTTCGTTTTGCCGAATTCGTAACATTTACAAATTTTGTAATTTAAAAGTACAATATTTACAAGTTTCGTGAGTCAAGTTATATAATGGAATTTATAGTTAAAGAGTACGGGTAGGACTTCCAGAAGCCCTTACAATGTAATTGGTATATATTCTGATAATGTTAAATATAATTATATATCAACTATAACTATATTTTGATATTCTTTAACTTTACTCTATTCTTATATATATATACATAATATATATATATATATATATATATATATATATATATATATATATATATATATATATATATATATTATATATATATATATATATATATATATATATATATATATATCTTTAGTTCAGTAAATATTGTTGAGGTAGAAAAAGATTGTTTGAAACATGAAAATCAGCATTATTTATCAATTGGTTTATCTACTTATAGAAATTAGTTTAATATCTTCAAAAAGTATTAGTAAGTTCTTTATTGAAAAATTAACAACAATATTAACACTATATACTATATGTATTATAACTCAATGATAATTTATTTTTTATAGGTAACAATATATACACTTTATTGAAAAATTAACTACAATATTAACAACTATATACTATATGTATTATAACTCAATGATAATTTATTTTTTATAGGTAATATAAGCTATTTTATTCAGGGCCAATGACATCAGTGTGGCCAGTGCCCCTAGCCTTTCCCTACCTCCCCCTACTTTATTTCTAAAGAGTTTATTTTTTTTCTAGAAGTTTTTAGATAAAGAGGACTTTGTTTGGTAGCTGACGGTTGTGCCTCTCCACTTCGAAATCCGTGTTGTCGCCCTTGTTTTAAAAATACCAATTTAAGTAGATTATACGAAATTTCCTTGCTGCCTCAGATGGTTATTATGATTAGATATCTAAAAAGAATTTTCACTTGTTGAGATTTTCGGTGAAAGTAAAGTTTCCATCAGCTTTATTATTTTTTTATATTTTCCTAATGTATGATTTCAAGATTCCTAATGTATGATTTATATATATATATATATATATATATATATATATATATATATATATATATATATATATATATATATATATATATATATATATATATATATATATATATATATGTATATATATATATATATATATATATATATATATATATATATATATATATATATATATATATATATATATATATATATATATATATATATATATATATATATATATATATATATACAGTGCCGGACCGTACTATAAGGCAAATAAGTAAATTGAAGAAAAATAAATATATGTAGGGAGAGGGGGCCTCCCAATCCGTGTCCGCCTAGGGCCCCCAACTTGCTATGTATACTTGCTATATAAATATATATATATATATATATATATATATATATATATATATATATATATATATATATATATATATATATATATATATATATATATATATATATACAGTGCCGGACCGTACTATAAGGCAAATAAGTAAATTGAAGAAAAATAAATATATGTAGGGAGAGGGGGCCTCCCAATCCGTGTCCGCCTAGGGCCCCCAACTTGCTATGTATACTTGCTATATATATATATATATATATATATATATATATATATATATATATATATATATATATATATATATATATATATATATATATATATATATATATATATATATATATATATATATTATATATATATATATACATATATATATATATATATATATATATATATATATATATATATATATATATATATATATATATATATATATGTATATATATACATAAATATATATACATATATATATATATATATATAATATATATATATATATATATATATATATATATATATATATATATATATATATATATGCAGTGCCAGACAAAGCAATTTAGGGGCCCTAGATAGACATGGATTGGAAGCCCCCCCCCCCCACACACACACACACATACTTATTTTTCTTTAATTTACTACGCAACTTCAATTTACTACGACTACGTGAGAAAAAATTTAACTAATTGATTTTTAAAAATTATTGCATGTTTCCTCAAAATTAAAAAAAATGTGTTTTTTTAATTTTAGTTTCTTCATTTTCAACTTTTTGGGGGCTCTTAAAGTTGGTGGCCTAAAATTAGTAATGAAAGACATGCAAATGATGAAAATTCATGATACCAGTGTTTTCCGAACACTTAGTTTTAATGTATAGATATAATCAGCATGGTTCCAAAAAGCAATAATAATAAATTTTCATAAAATGTAAACAAAAAGTATTCTCTTAGAATAAACCAATAGAATACTTATAAACAGCCAAGATACGGTATGGTATTCCATATTTAGAATATTTGCTAGTAGCAAATATTCTAAATATGGAATACCATACCGTGAACTAAAGGTAAAGAACACTTTTTAAAAAGCAAAGAGTTTAACGGTAAAATCATTAAACTCCTTTTAGCTTCTAAAATAAATTATAATTTTTAGTTAGATAAATAGTTATTTAATTTTTTTAAAGAACATCGAGCTCCATTATTCTTAGCTTTTTATTTGTTTGATTGTCTCTTATTTTTTATATTTAAAAGAATTTGTCGGAATATCTAAATGACTATCGCTAAAATTAGATTGACATTACTTATATCTTGATTTAATGGAATTATTTATCAAAGGGTTTATCTTTTTATTATATTGGAATTGTTAATAGTATTTTTAATAATCTTTTATTTTTAACATGTAAAGCCCACATAGCGACTCTATGTGGGCTTTACAAAAGTTAATAAGAAAATGCCAGGCAACAAAAGTGAAAGGTCATTTACATAAAATTAAAATAAACTGAAAAGATTGTGGTGATTTAAGTCATCCGTATCTTCTTTGATCTCCTGTTTTTATAAACCCACTTTATCTGACCAGCTCTGAGCGCAACCTCGGCATCATTGTCAACGACCATCTCAAGTGGCGGGATCTAGTTGCATACGCTGTTGCCAAGGCTAAATTTGGCGCTGGGTATATTAAAAAAAAACCTTCCACTATTGGTATATTATTTGCTTTTGCATACTTTATACAATTTATACGACCACATCTTGAGTTCTGTTCTTCCACATGGAACCTTTATAATTGTCGAGACATTGACACTCTCGAAGCAGTGCAAGAAAAAGCCACAAAAGTGTTCAACCTATAGAAGATAGACGGCGTAGAGGTGACTTCATCCAAAATTTCAAGATGTACTACAACCTTGATGTTGTAAAGCTCCTGAGACCAAACCAGTTAGCTACAGCATAAAGCGTGCACAGATTTTCAAAAAGCCTCCAAGGGCAGTGTCTTTGAAATCAACGCCAAGCAATAAATAACTATGTCCAACGAGACCTTTTCTCTACCAATGGCATCGTACCTGACTGAAATTTACTTTCAATCTCCATCATATCTGCCGCATCATTGATCAACTTTAAAAATAACTAGATACATATTTTTCCGAACGTTTATTACAAAAAAAACAACTGACATTTATCATAGCGGAGCTTTGTTAGTTGTACTGCTTGCAAACGTGTAAATATTTGTTATAAATTACTTATCTTAGTATTATTTGTTATTATACAATTTTTTTTTGTTGCAATCTCATTAAAGTAGCCTTTCACGCCTTCTTTCTTACCAATGTTGTAAATAAAGCCAGAGATGGCATCAAACCTCGAATCTCTTGATTATGAAGCAAGCTCTATAATGACTGCGCTACGTTTAATTTGAATTATTTTGTCTGTCTAAAAGTTTGCATTTACATTTATGAAAAACTAGAATAAATTATGTAAAAATTAAAACATTTTTTATTGGATTCTTCCGAGTGTTATCAAAAATAAGTTACTTTTTATTTGTTAGAACTTTAATAGAAACTTTCATTTCGTAAATAAGAAAAAAAAAAAAAAAAATTAAAATTCTCACTAATTTACCTCTTTATTTACCTAGTGAAGCCATACCAGTACTCTGAGCCAGACTGGATGCTTAAAATCTATAGTGAAAATTTTTATATACGGGTTTCTTAATGCATTAAACTTTACACACTGAAAATGACATTAAAGAGGAGGGGTGACATTGGTAAAATGTAAGGCCTTCCATTTGTCGGCGTGCGGTTCTCAATTATTGACCGAAGGCCTTCGGTTGCGGGTATGCGGGTCTTTTTTCAATTTTAGAAGGCCTACAACGGAAGGACTCGAATAATGTATGTAGGGTGTTAAAGTTTAAAGGCTTTTTGTTTAAGACCCGCGCTTTTTTTAAATGCTCAAAGAAAAATAAAATATGGCTTCTGAAAGGAAAGTAGAGAGGTCTGATAAAGCAGTACAATTAGAATCAAAGAAATACGTTAAACTGGATCAAGATGGTAACAATATACAATGCTTGCTATGTAACGTCGGAATCAAAGTCAGAAAGACAAGATCTTTTACTCCCCATGAGTACGATCAACATTTTAAATACATTTCACACGAGGTATCTGTTTGTAAAGAAAATGAAGCTGGGCTTTTTTAAATTAATATACATCAATTTTTTCCTATTGTTTTTCCAAATGTTTCGAAATTAAAAGTTGTGGCTAATTCTGGAATTGATTTTAGTATTATTCCTGAGGCTAAAATAAAATTAACTAAACCATGCGACGGTGGATTTAATAATAGAAGAGAACTTGTAGTTCTTTTTAACTCCTATAGCATTATGGATAGTATGATAAATAATAACGCAAAATTTGTTAAAATAGATGATAAAATTTATCTTCATAGCATTCTTATACTAAAAATCTTATACTAAATGACATGCCACCGCTTTTTATTGATAACATACTTCTAAAAAAAGTAACAGTTACCAACTTTCTTTGTATTTATATTGATTAAAATTTGTCATGGAAAAGTCGCATAAAAAATTTGAGTAGTAAAATATTGAAAAGCATAGGAATTTTATACAAAGCAAGGAGTTTTTTAAATAAATACATTACTTAAACTATATTATTCGCTCATTCATTGTAATATAAACTATGCGAACATTGCGTGGGGTAGTACTAATAAAAGTAAACTGGACACTCTTTTTCGTCAACAAAAACATGTTGTACGCCTTATTAATTTTAAGGATCGATTTACTTATGCCAAGCCTCTATTAATTGAAATGAAAGTTTCAAATATATATGAGCTTAATATTTTTAACGTTGTATGCTTTATGTTTAAATGTAAAAACAATATTTCTCCTGTACCTTTTCATAATTTGTATAACAAAAAAAAGAAAAAACTAAATACTTTTTACAAAATGATAACGACATTCGTCAATCAGCTTATCAAACTAATTCTGGAAAATACTGTATTACTAATTACTGTATTACTAAACAAACTAATTCTGGAAAATACTGTATATACGAATGTCGTTATCATTTTGTAAATAGTATTTAGTTTTTTCTTTTTTTTTTTATACAAATTATGTAAAGGTACAGGAGAAATATTGTTTTTACATTTAAACATAAAGCATATAACATATAAGCATTCAAATATCACTCTTTTAAACAAAAACTTAAAAAAGTCATTTTTTTATTAGATGATATATCTATATTCTTTTAATTCTTTTATTTTAATTTTATATTAAACATTGCATTAATAAAATTTATAATTTAACAACTTGTAAATAATTGTTTAACACTTTTGTTAAAGGTATCTTAAAACTGTATAACACATCTATGTATTTATAACGGAACCTTTTTTCTTTTTTTTCTTTAAATTTGTTTATATTTTCAATTTTTAATTTTTAATTATTTGTTATCTTCAAGTATATTAAGTATATAAAGTTTATTTATTTATTTAAAAAATACTTTATTAATACAAAATGTTAACACGTAGACGTTTAAAGCAGCCGTGGCGCAGTGGTAGCACAACTTGCCTCAGAAACATAAGATCCGTGATTCAAACCCCACCTCTGGGCAAGTTTTGCGATATCG